AATGAATGAATGAATGTGGGGAAGTCAGTTTGCTGTCAAACTCTCCACTCACTGATACATATAGGAGTTTGGCAGAAACCTTGAGCTCTCCTCTTGCTGCAGGAGCATGTCCTCAGTCTATAGCATCAATATTTCAAGATAAACTAGAAGAAGCTTTTCTGTGTTGCTGTTCAGGCTATGCAGCTGTTTTTCGTCTGCCACTGTGTTCTTTCCAGGGTTAATTGTCTTCATCAATATGTTTTCACTGCTCTGGGGAATCAGTGAATGCAGAACAATAACAGCAGCAAAGCTAAAAGCTGTGATTCTGAAAAGCAAAAGGAGTCTTTGGTCTTTGCCAGATTGTGTGCGTTGTCACATTCAGTTTAGCTGCAGATGTGTAGACTAAATCATTTCCAAGCATGATTGTATCTGTGGAAAACTATATACTCAGGACACAGTAAGTCCTGTTCGTCTTTGTTTCCCTCAAGCTGGGCTGAGCTTTAGCTGGAGTGTAAATATTGGAGAATCGTTCTCACCCAGGGGACAAGGATAGGCGGGAGTGAGGGGTCTCTTGGCCACTAGTTTAGGTTTGATTGGTGGGTTTTGGCCGGAAAAAGGGGAACATCTGTGGTGTAGTAGTGCCAAGCTCAACGTGTGACAGCCACACTGGTGGGACCAATTGTTCTGAGTGTAAAGAACAGTAATCACTTCAAGCCCGAGTGGTGGTGGTAGTGTGTTTTTTTTTCTCCTCTTTACATACTCTCCTCCTTCCCCTATTTTCTCCCCCTTTTCATCCTTGGTGCACTGATTGCATTTGTTGTCTAGCTTCCAGACTCATTCTAAATTTAGCATCTGTGGATGTGCATGTTTCTCTGAGAGACTTTATCCACCAGGAGAATTTACATGCTCAAAAACACCACCACATCTCGTTCTAGTCACTCGCCCAACAAAGATGTGTTGGGTGAGTGCGGAACAGTCTTGGACAGAGCATAAAATAAACAAGACTGGTTTCATCCAGCCCTTGTCAAATGCTGGCGTTGTAAATTGATATGAAAGCTGCCTTATCAAATCCTGACCTGTGCTGCCCCCTAAAGAGCAAACAAGAAAAAAGCACCATGACTGTACTGCTGTCACTTCCTTTTCTCCCTGACAGTGAAATCAAAGCACACAGATGTGTTAAGAAGGCAGCCATTCGCTTTAAGCTGACAAACCTCTCTATTTACCTTTGATGCCATGAAGTGGGAGTCCATTTGTTCCTGGTGCACTACAAAGGCTTGTGAGCATAATCTCTCCAAAGGCAACAGATTACTGCAGAGTGGAGAGCTGTGTCTGCTCTTCTATGTATAAAGTCATTCATATTGAGGACTGAAAGCTTTTAGAGAAGAAATGACCAACAGTGAGTCCAATGTGGTTACCCAGAGAGGTCTGCTTTTTCATTTCCTTTGCTGATCTATAGCAACACAGAGAACAGGGCTAGTGAGTGGGCTGCTTGCTGCAGTAAGGGAATGAATGCCATAAAGGGGTGCCTGTAGGTCAAGGAGCCTGTTGTCAGATAAAGTCACAGCACAGCTCAGGGCCGGCTGGTGAAATAAGGCCTTCCTCGGCCATTCAAGCGGCCATACAGGGAGATTTATTGCACTCAGTGGCTAGGCTGTACTACAGAAACCTGGAGAGAGTGAACTGGAAGCACGAGCCTAATGGGGACATACCCCTTGAGCACCGTGCATTTATACTTTAAACCTACAACAGAAGCAAGCTAATGTGTGATAAGCAAAATTTGGGAAATGTGGTCATAAAAATGATGCATTCTTTTAAGCCACTCCAAGAGCTTTTAATTATTCATCATGTTATCTAGCATGGCTCTAGTTTTAGTGATTTTTCTCTCTCGCTATCCAGTTGTCTCCCAGATGTTGCTTATGGATGCAAATATTTTATGCAAAATTAGTTACACAAAATTAATTTGTTTTTAAACCAGATGCAAAAAACATTTAATGAAAGGACATAAAGAGATCAGGTATGACTGGAAGAATTATTTAAATTGTAATGTGTCCTCTATTAGGATTAGCTTTTAATTATAATGACTAAATACTTAAGCAAATAGAGACCAATATATAAACAAGTCTTTTTTTAATCCTGTCGTGCCTCAGTTTTATGCATAATATCTTGATTGTACTTATTATTTTACTTTACTTTAAGGTAAATAATTCTTAATAATATTATTAAATGTTGAGTTGTTTGGGGGTATCTGTTTGATTGTACATACATATACAGTATGTCAACACTTGATTTAGTTTTATGACCAGCACTGTCCCGTCTTGTCCTACTCTGCTGATCCTTTATCCACAGATAAATTAACTAATGGATAACTTGAAATAATTAGTTTCCTTGTGACCTTTGAATGTTATTCGAGTCTAACATATTGCAAATATTTCCCTTTTTTTCTTTCAAGCACTTACAAAATCCAGCAAATTTCCAAACAGCAGCAACTGAGCTGCTGGACTGGTGTGGCGACCCCCGAGCTTTCCAGCGCCCCTTCGAGCAAAGCCTGATGGGATGCCTAACGGTAAGTCACCAGTCATGCTCTGCTGTCTCATACCGGAAGGGTCAAGGACAAGTAAAAAAAAACCACTAAAGCGCCTGTTGTGCTGGCTCTTTCCATAACTCCCTCAGGGATACCAGAAAACTAATGTTTAGATGCCAGATCTTCACTGATCACTGGAATAGAAAAAGAATCTCAGTCTGATTTAGTCAGACTTTAAGTGACTTCAGTTACAGTTTGTGCTGGGGTTCATAAAACTGGCACACAGGAACATGAAAAGGGTGAGTGCAACAATGTCCTCAAACCACAAAGCAATCAGCGCTTGTAAGGAAATAGTGTTTCAAAGCCCTCAATTCCCCTGCTTAAATGTCTAGGGGATTTTAATTAATTGAATTACTAGTGTCCCATGGCATCTTAAAACAGTAACAACAACGACAAAAAAACAACTTGACTGTTTCAGTATATATACTGTAAACAAGGAAAAGATTTTGGCCAACATGACAAAAGTAATTTCCGTTTAGTTTATG